TGGGTGTATCTTTGGTTCATATCTTCAAACCTACGGTACCATGCTTTCCTATCTGTCTGTCTGTCTCACTCTTCAATGGGTTGAGAGAAACTATGAGTCATTTCCTTAGAAATATGTTTCTCAGAAAAATGTTGTACTGGTGAATTTTATAGTCAGTAACAGTAACTCTGCTAACTTCCAAATGTATCCACAAAAGTTACTTACTTGATAAACCTATAAGATGTCTCTTTTATATCCAGTCTTTCATGAGTAATGTTGATGACAATTAACACCTTTACCAAACAATCGAGCTAGGTGTTAGACTGCAGCTAATAAACCTTCTTTACTCACAGGATGATGCTCGGCTCTCTCACCAGAATACATCTGATTATCTTAGTAACAGATCATGCAGCTTAATCACAAAACATTCATATGCATGCAAGACCTTGTGCTCACACCAAAAGGAAATGGCCACTTGGATATCAATCAGATCTCTACAAAATAATTGGGCAACTTGGTTCTTAGCAAACAGACATTGTAAGCCCATGTTTTAACTTAGAAGCTCCTCTCTTTATCATTCACCTATGTGTGAATTATAAAAGTTGTTGTTTTTTTTTCTCGCACCAGATAACTCCCGTTGCTACACGGCGCCTGTACCATCTGCTAATTCTCACAGGTACAACCTCACACTTTTTTCTGTGAACTCAATTAACACCATACTGCATTTTCTCTTCAGACTTTATTTTTATCCTATAAAACTAATTGATTTCATGTTCCTGCCTGGCACATTCAGTGTACACTGTACTTTATCCAAGTAGCTCGTAAATTATCAGGCCAGTTTGGTATTCAGCAAGGACGACTTTTCAGCTGCACTCTAGCTATTTCCAGAGTCAACTCATTGACATCAGGGTAAATCCTGGATACTTGAGCTCCTTTGGGAATGAATTGTGATATTGTTAAATGGAAAGCAAGCTTAGTTTTATTGATTTAAGTTGTCAAAAAATATCTGCTGTTGGCATTTTAATATTTGCACAACTATTCTTGAATGTACAGATAAGAAAAGTGGGAAAGCTATGAAGGGGAAATCATTTAGATTCCACAACAGTTAAGATAGCGATCACTGTTAAAATAGTTAGCCAAAGTAAAAGCATTTCACGTGATATGTATCTATAATGATTAAAAAGCCCAGATATGTTTCCACTCAAAAAAGAAAAAGAAACTATTGATATAAACACTAACTTGTGTTCTGAATCACATTTGACATCCTGAATGGATTTTATAGCATGACTTTCTAAATGATGAATAAGATGATTATGCTGTCATGATTTCGGTGCTGATGGCTGGCTTGATTCCTCAGTTCCTTCGCCTGTCTAGCTCTGCCCTGTTCCTCATCACTCATCAGATCCACCTTTTCCAGTTTCATATTTAAGCTGCCTGTTTCCCAGCCATCTGTGCAAATTTATTCATGAGCCTTTGGTGTCAAGGGTTTTTAGCATTACTATAGTGTTCTGATTGTCTGATCCTGATCCATTTCTGTTTTTGGACGTTTGAGCCTGCCTGCCCCTGTCTGATGTGTTAGTCTGCCTGTCTTCAGACTCTTGTTGGATTCTTCTGTGAACTGAACCTGGATCTGCCCCTTTGGATTATCCTGTCTTCCTTCATCAGCTCAGCTCTGATCTCCTGTCAGCTCTGCAGCCTTATAGTCATCCGCATCTGGAACTATCTGGCAGGGCCCGTTGAGTCTGTTCAGTTGACCAGCTGGAATCATCCTCGTTCACTGGGCACAGAAAGAACTGTCAAACCAGGTTAGTGACTCACGCATCCATAATCATCCTCCGTCAGTCATTAACCTATTTTTCTCCGATGGATGCTCCTGCCCTGGATGCCATAGCCGCTGCAGCCACTGTGGTTCCGTGGATCCGTCTGTTTTGAGTAAACACTTTTTAAGAAATCCACTGTCTGTCTTGCCTGATATCTGGGTCATACCTTCTGAGCTATTATATACAGTATGTATACTCAGGATAGGTCCCTTTTTGGAATAAAATAAAACTCTATACTGTAAGCACAATAATTATGCATTAAAACTACAAGTTGTTTGCTTGAGTGCTGGCTTTTCTGAATTGTAAGAATGTGTGCTCACTTTACTAACCGAAAGCGAAGCAGCTGCTAACAAGGGTATGACTCTAATTTAGGTGAAAAAAAATTACTATATTTGTCAGGTTTGTACAAATCTTTCGTTTTCACAAACCTATTTTAACCGAGATAAAAAAATATATTACCAATTTAAGTTTCTAAACAAATCAACTAACAACAATGAAGCTATGCAAATAATCGAAAGGTCTTTACATGGTGAAGATTACTTGTTTTAGTTTAAATCCAGGATCAGAATTGGCAAAGAAAGGTATTTAGGGGCTTTAAATGTGTATAGTTTGTGTTCTAAAGTCACTGACTTGAGTATTTTGAGAAATTGTTGGGGTAAACGCACAGAAGGACTTAGTCAGGCTTACAAAAACTGGTTAGAGAAAGAGAAAACATCAAGCAATCAGCAGGTGTGTGGATGAAAACAATTAGTAGCCATTCAACAGGAGTTCTACAACCAGCTGTCACAAGCATGGTTTACACAGGCTAGTTATCCATCCATCCATTTTCCCTCACGCTTATCCCAAGCAGGGTCGCGAAGGGTGCTGGTGCCTATCTCCAGCTGTCTAAAGGCGAGAGGCGGGGCACACCGTGGACAGGTTGCCAGCCCATCGCAGGGCAACACAGAGACAAACAGGACAAACAACCATTCACACACACACTCACACCTAAGGGGACTTTAGAGAAGTCAGTTAACCTAACAGTCATGTTTTTGGACTTTGGGAGAAAACCGGAGTACCCAGAGAGAACCCACGCATGCACAGGGAGAACATGCAAACTCCATGCAGAAAGACCCCAGGCCGGGAATCGAACTCACAACCTTCTTGCTACAGGGCAGCAATGCTACCCACCGAGTAGCCCCATTCTAATTATACAGCATAAAATTGGAAAAAGTTGCCCAGACTGATCATTTTTAATTTTAAGCTTAACATTTTCCTGATAAAGTCAGAATTTGATTTAAAACATAAAAAGCGTAGATCCAACCTGGTTCTTTGGCATGGTGGATAAAGTGCAACATATTGCATCTTAAATAGTCTTTCTTGTAAAAGCTGATACAGTCTAGTACTGGAATTGAATTCATGCTGTGTTTGAGTTATTTTCAAATAAACATCTCATCACATCCAAGTTGAGTATGTACTGAATACTGATAATCTTAAATCTTTGTACACACCTATCAAAAGGTTGAAAGATGAACCTAAAAAGATTTTTTAAATGTAAATATTTACTCTATTAATCTAGTATCAACTACTGTAAAAATCTAACAGGGGAGAAATTAGAACCAAACAGAAAACAATCTCTTTGTGTCCCTGCGTATCAGCGTGACCACAGTGGGGTTGTTTGTGTTGCAGAAGGGGATCTACAGAGAGGAAATGACACAGCAACATGTGTGTTCTACTCTCTTCTCGTAAGACTTTAGTTTCACATATTACTTATGTGTGACTGGGAACTTTTAGCTCTGTTCAAAATATAATAAAAAAAGTTCTGAACATTTAGAATTCAGTCTGAATTATGTACATTATAGAAAATAAAAATGTAATAAAATAAGTTTCATACAGGTAAAAAAGATTTCATGAGAGATTTACACTCACCATGGGAAGAAGTTTCTGCATAATTCTGTTTAAGCCTTTAAACATGGACTCCTAAGGATTAATTTAAACTATTTAATGTAAATTTATTACATAAATAAGACATGGGTTCACAGTTCTTGTTTTTTGGTGGGGAATTGTCCTCTAATAAAACATGAGAAATACAGTCTCAAATATATATAATATAAAAAATACATCCCTTCTTACATCCCTGCTTCAGCATATCATATGTTGCCTGGAAAAATTCTGGTGCTCATTTAAGCTGATAGGTTACCTGACAGGACTATACATTTTCAGTTGTACCCAGATCATCACCTTTGGGAAGACCATGCAGAAGCTTAATGTTACACTGCTTTATCAACTTCTGAACTAGTTCCAACGTGTCCTTGTAGTCAGTGTCTTTCAGAGTTTTAATCATTTCACCCGCTGTCCCCCTTTAAAGGAAAACTAATTGTTGGTATGAGTGGCCAAATTCAGGAAAGACTAAGTCTAAAGTTAGACACAGAACGAGAAATGTTTGATCCCTTGCAAACCTGTCCAGAGTGACGCTCTCATATTACAGTATCAAGGTCTAAGAAGGAGCAGAGCAGTAATGCAGAATCTGCTCCTGAGTGGACATCATCATGCACTAATGACATTTGCAGCTGCCCACACAGACAACTCAAATCCCTTCTGGAGAAAAACATTACAGTCACAATGATAATAACTATTCTTGCAGAAGTCAAGGTAAAACTTGATATACTCATTAACTATAACGGTCAGCTATATTTTAGTATCATCTTGGTGTTTGGTTGCTTTGCTACATACAAGAGATCCAGGTGCTTTGCATAGATGAAGGTAAGAACTCGGCTGTTAGGGGGCCAAATCCATACCATAATTGAATACTTCAAAAGGAAAATGGTCTCAAACACACATCTTGACGTTTTCGGGTTTATTTAAGTTGTTATAACAGGCTAAGATAATGCTTATATGGTAAAACTGTGGAAAAAGATTTGTGGACTATGTGGAAATGTCTTTCATGACATCATAAATCATAATGCTTTTAGATAGACTGTACAAATTCTGCCAAGACCTGTCAGCTAGAACCAGAATAAGCCAAGAATCTTATTGATGATTACATGTAGTTGCAGTGTAAGCAACATTTAACCAAATATTAGTGGGACTGCATGTAAGACAACATGTGATTTTAAGTATGAATGGATTTTAGAAAATAGATTTTGATCATTTTTTCATAATGAGTTTATGTGAACTTCTGACTGGAACTATAAATGAGTCCCTAACAAGAATATGTCTTACCGTTTGGTTGTCCTCGTAGAGTTTGAGGTCATAGCCGCTTAGTTCAACACAGAATATGATTGCAGTCACACCCTCAAAACAGTGAATCCACTTCTTCCTCTCTGAACGCTGTCCACCAACATCCACCATCTTAAAGGTGAGCTCCTTGAAGGTGAACTTGTTCTCCACGATGCCTGTGGTCATGTCCCGGGAGCGTAAGATGTCTTCTACAGTGGGGATATACTCAGGCGCAGAGATGCGGTCTAGGTCGTTTAGGTAGTAGGCAGTGTTATCCTCTAAGTGGTATTCGTTGGAGCGCTGAAAGCACTCCTGAACCCCTGCGTCTGCCCACAGACGTTTCATCACCCCCAGCAGCTCTGGAGTGATCTCCCCTTTACTCTCAGCTGGCCCTGTGAGGGCAAAGAGCTGAACAGCGTCGTAGGCGCGGTCAGCATTGTGAAAGTCTATCTTAAGGGTTGTGAGGGCCCGGATGATGCGGGTGAGAGAGTCGATAGCATTGTATAGGATGAGAGGCTTGTACTCCTTGCAGGCTTCCAGGTTGAAGCCACCACTGTGAATGATTTTCATCTGTTTAACAATGGTGCTCTTGCCGGAGTTGCTGGTCCCCAACAGGAGAAGCTTGATCTCACGCCTTTGCCGTTGACTTTCTGAGCGCAGATGGCGGTCAATCCGCCTTGAGCGCCGAGCCGCCTCCTTCTCCTCCGAGCTCTGACGGCATCCCATGGTCCTCCACCACGTCGTTAGCACAAAGGAACTCGTGCTGGTGCTGGATGGGAAAGCAAATTATAAAGAAGAGGTGGATCAAAAGGAGGTGCTTGTGGTGGTGGCGAAGGAGTTGAAGACTAATTCTGTTGAGTGCAAAGACGCAGGGAAGGATGTAGAGAAAAACTGCTACAGATCAGTTTTAACACAAGACAGTAAATTGACCACACAGAGGAGTGGCACAGGGGTATTCAATCTGTGATTTCTGTGTGGGCAAAACCCAGACTTGTGGGATGCCCACACAGTGCCTGGCACTGAGATTGGACCGCCTACTGAAGCCAACAGAGCTGAGGTTCATAGCAGGGGCTGCCTCTGAGGAAAAGTACTGGTGAAAGGCTGGAGAAAGATTACTGTATGTCAGCAGAGAACATGGACTTGTTGCTTCCAAATATGAATTCCCAATCACTCTCCTCCCACATGGCTCTGGTGCTCTGTTGTAACCATGCACTTTTGCTTGGTATTTAGCCTGTTGTGTTTATTCCAGGTGATAAGGAAAAAAATCTTCCTCTTCTCTTCTTAGATATTTCCCCAAGGATAGGATGCCTGCCAAGATAGACAGTGAAGAAAAATAAGTTTTTACATTCAGTTTTATACATGTGTCTCAGTAAATTAGCTGTAAAAGGAATAGCTGTTGTGTAGAATCTAAGATTCATGCCACTCTAGTGTTTGACTTTTTGTATAAAACATCTTTAGTGGGTATTACAATGTTCTGAATCCATCATGCGATAGGTAATATGACAACAATAAAACATAAAATAGTTAAAAATCGGCCAAAGCAGAGAAATAATTGGATATTTTGCAGGGAATTCAAGCATTTTGATTTGTATTCCTATGTCTATGCTCAGAAACATCTGTTTCATTTTTCTATTTTTTTTTCCTTTAGCATCATAAACAAGATTTAGTTTATTAATTCAATGTGATGTCAATTTCTACTCTTACAAACAGACACACTTCCAATGGGAGGAAAATATTACTTTTGCTTAAAAGGAAGTTGGGGCAAATTCCTAGACTTCCAGTACAATACAAGTCCAAAATATCAAAATAAAGGTTCTAGTTGCTTGAGTCTCATACTAGGAGAGGGCAGTAATTACTGTATATGAGATATCTCCACAGAAATTCCTGTCCTATTACTTCAATTATTTTAACAATAGTTTTGAGACAGGAGCAAACATACTATTGTGTCACTTGTCCGCTATGAGATCATGTACCTAAAAAGCAAAACATGTTTCTTCTTCCTTTTTTATGCTCTGATTACACCAAACCCATAGTATTTTGCCCAATAACAGGGTCCACCAATTAAGTTCAAGTGTGTTCAACTGTCTCCGTAGTAATGACAAAAAAGTTTAATGATTGCCATTGACGGTGTTTTGTTGCTTTAATTAGGTTTATTAATAACAAAATAGAATTTGCAATGAAACCAAATCCTGTGATAAGGCCATGAACAACACCACTATTATATGTTTTTCTATCCACCTTGAACAATGAGACGAGCACAAGTATGAAAGTACAGCAAAGAGCCTTTAATACTGAAGGAAAAACGGGATAACTGCACAAGGAAGCTTCACTGCATGCAGAAGGAAAAAAAATGACAAACACTGGTCTCTTCCACTAAGCTCCCTATCGTAAAGTTAAGTAGGAAAAAGTTTGCCAGAGGTTTGCACTCTTGGTCTTGTCTATTTATCTCATTACCAGCTTGCCAAATGTTTCTGGACTCCCAGCTTTGTATTAAATGATCTACTTCATGTAATGTACTTTGTAATTTCAGGGGAGATTTTTAATTAAAAAAATAACAACAAACAAAAGGAAGCTATCTAGGACATTGATCAGATTTTCTTATTAAAAATAAAACCAACCGATTGACAAAAACCTGCTTTCTAAAATGAACAATAAAAAAGGTATTCCATCCCTACAAAGATCTCAAAATCATGTTATTGTTATTAACGAAAAGGCTTTCTACAATTAAGGTGTGGGTGGTTAGGTTGCACACAAGGTGGATGATTGGAAGACAACAGCAGCATAATTTTATATGTCATCTTTGGTAAATAATTGACAGAGGAAAATCTTCTGGCTCCAGCAATCACAAAGCATTCTGTACAAAGCGGTTGTAACACTCCCTTTCCCAAGTAGTTATATCCCGTCTAAAAGGTTCCTTCAAAGAAAAAGGTGTATACCTCTATAGGGAGTCATCAGTTATCCCATAACCCTCAGGAATAAAGATCAGCCCATATTGTGTATATAGAAAAAAAACACATAATATTGCCTGGGATATACAGGTTCCATATGCATCCAATGTAAATCAGAACATTTTGGGAGGTAAGTAACAAGGCACTCCCATTAAATGATTTAGTAACGACTATGAAGTCTGTAAAACTGTGTGCTAAAGCAATACACACTATGATAAATAGTTGTTGTCTTGTATAAGAACAGTTTGGGCACCACATGATATTTCACCAACTTCAACTTTGAAGGGATGTGAGTGCTCAGCACAGCCAGCACTGATGAACTGTCCAAAAATGTTTTGGCAGACCGACACACAGCCTGAAAGGATTTGGTCCAGATTAAAGATTCAAATGTACTAACCCGTTTAATTAGAGGACTTACCACATTTGAAAAAAAATAACTTGATTAAAACCCAACTGCTATTGCAAATTACATCTAGCTGATGCTAAGAGTTTGATTCCTTTTACAGTGGGGGTGTTGATGCTTTGGAGATCAATAAACTGAGTACGTGGGAAATAGTCTTGTTTTGGAATTAAAAAATCCTGGGTTTTAAAGCAGAAAAACTAAATTTAAGTTTTTAATCACAACTGTTACAATGAAAAACATACAGAGATGTAATTGGGACTCATTTGTAACAAAGTTAGCCAAATGCAGATGTTCATGTTTTGTCTCAGACCTAATGAAAGGGACCTGAAACCAGAAAAAAAATCCCTGAGAGTTTGTAGTATTGGTAGGTCTTTAATTTCTTTTCTGTTTTTTTTTTTTTTTTTGGCTTTTTATAAGGAAAAAAAAAAATCTTAATTAAAAAATCGTACCTGACTTATCCCATAAGATTATCATCCACAAAGCCCTATGTAGCAGTGTCATTATTATTAGCTAGTATTTTTTTCAAAGTCAAAATATCACTACACTATCATAGTAAGGTGTAGATATATTAATTTGTATATCGAAACATATATGTTTACACCAACATCACTGCCTTAAAAACAAGAAAAATGTTTTATAGGATTTTTTTTTACTCTTTTTGCCAGAACAGACCCTGGAAACTGAGTTTAATTTATAGAGTAACTTTGTTTACTGAGGTTAAATTATTCATTTGTTGTTGTTTCTTTCAGGATCTAAATCACTTCAAATCACTTAAGTTTTATTAAAATCAGTGACAACATTTAATAATTGTGCATTTTAACAAAAATGCTAATGAGTCTTGTATAATTTTGAGTTAACAAAACATTTATATTTTGTGACTTTGAACTGATCCGGGAAGAAAATCTAATGACATCTCACCAAGAAATGTTTAGCACCCTGACATAAAAAAGGACTAACTGTTATGGTTCTCCCCTTTTGAAATTTTGAGTTTTTAGTTTTTAGTTTTCAGTTTTTGCTATCGAAGTAAGTCTGTTTTGTTGATCTTAGGTTTATTTTCCATTTTGTGTTATATTTAAGCCAGTCTTCAATTACTCTCTGTTTCCCCCTTGTGCCTGTCTCCTTTCCCCTAGCTCCCTTAGTTTCTGGAATGTATATTTCTATATTCAAACCAATCACATGATAAATTCCCTGACCTAAAAAAAAGGATTTGCCTCACTCATCTGTTTTTGGGTCGTCAATCAACCTCACCGCCCTTGTTGACACTAACTTATAATTTCAAGGTTAAAATTTTGCAGCTAGGTTTTTACCATGGAACATTTAATTCAGTCACCTTTCTGAATTAATATCACACTTTATTGTTGGTTTAGCACAGATTAAATTGAGGGCATGCAATGTGTCCCTAAAGCTCTTTTCACCCATTAGATGAATAACATTGATGGCCCCAGTACTAATTTCATTTGACCATTAAGAATTAGGAAACATCAACATTAATGTTTCTCAAAGGATTATAAAATCTAATCATGATATAGAGAGCATGCACAATAAATACCAAGGTCATGTGAAAAATTAATTTGTGTATAGCATAAGTTTTAAGACAATGAGTTTTCATACTAAAATGTATATTTGTAAAACAATTATCTACCCATGCCCAGTGTCTGCTGCTCTGCAAAAAATTTTTATCTGGCTAACATAATTAGTCACACTCCTCAGGACTGGCGTGTCAAGCTAATCTTTTTAGAAATAAGTGATCTGCTATCTGATATGTGAAATCAATCATGTGGTTAAATGTGCAGTTTACTAATGGGTGTAAACTCCCCACTACAGGAGCAGTGGCTGCATAGGCGGAAATAAATGCTAACCCAAAGAGCTCTGGCTGGCAGGTACTTAGAAACAGCTTTGCAGCCATGCTAACAAGAGTTAAAGAGATCTAAAAAAAAATGAATGGCAAAAATCTTACTTTCGTTTAATTGCATTTAATTTTATTTTTTCAACATACAGTTGTACTCGTGGTTAAAAATGGTGCTTCCATCGACAGCTGACATAATATATTTACTTCAAGCACATTACAGTAAGAGATTTTAAGAGGGGTAAAAAAAACTGTTCAGTAACAAGCAGGCACGAACAGAAGATACTTGCCTGTTATTGATTAGACTATATGGATAAATTCAACAATATTGACTGACGGACGGACGGCTAGTTTTCTTAATGTGTTGTTTCTGTTGTTACAGTTGGATATTTTACCAATATATTCTGTGATTGTTCCATTTACAATGAATCTTGAAAAATAATTGTATTTTTCATATATATATATGAATTAGGAATTATCCCAGTATCAAGACGTTATACTTAGAGTTTGCATGTTCCCTCTGGGTTCCCTCTGGCCCCCTTCCACTCACTTCTGCCTGACTTTGAGATTAATGGTCCTTAGATATGAGTGTGTAGTCCTTATGTTGTCTTGTGTTAAACTGGTAACCTTTCCAGGTTGCACCTTGCTTTACACCACTTGATGCCAGGAACAGGCACCAGTCCCCTCCTCATTCTTCCTGGCCAGTGTTAATTTCAACTAAGGCCATTTAGGTTTTCTGTGCAGCGCTTCTTTTGATTTCTTCACTTGACTTCCCCACTCTCTTTGGCCTTTTCCGACAGATTCTGAACCATATGATAAATAAGCTAACCATATCTACCCTTTCCACATTAGCACATGCGGTTAAAACACACAAAATCAAGGTATAAAAATATAAGTATGGTAGACAAATGATGCAACTTGAACAAAATAAATATGTTTTTGGGGTAGTTTGCTCATTTTACAAGCTGTTGAGCAAAGCTGCAATATATGATTTTATTTTTTCTTGCTATCACAGTGAAAAATAACGAGCTGAAGTTGGCAGGTACTTTTCATACTTTCATACAGCTTTAAAGCCCACTCTGCTTGCCCAGGCAAGGTAACCTACCCTATA